TGATCCTGCTCCTCTTCATCACATTCCCTTCAACGTGTACTCATATTCTACAGATGTTGCCTGCTGCTTGCCACAAAATCTGCTCTCACCAAGACATCAACTGCAACTCGTATCTCAAGGCAGATTACTCGGTSCAGTGCAACACACCAAAACATGACATCTATGGCACATTGAGTACAATAGCAATAGTCTACTGCATTGGATTCCCCCTAACCTTGTTCTTTATTCTAAGACGTGCCCAAAGACAAGGGAAGCTTGGTGATGCTGGTACAAATGATAACGGTTCCATACTACATGGTATTCGATTCCTCTATGAAAATTATTCACCAATGTGTTGGTTCTGGGAGATATTGGAATTGGCCCGTAAAATATTTTTTAGCTCCMTGCTGATATTGATGAATGCTGAGAGCCGCACGAGTTTGGGCCTGACCTCAATGTTCTCTGGGATGTACTCTGTACTGTTTGCCCTTTACAAGCCTATTGAAGATACGTTTGAGTACTGGCTGCAAATGGCTTCGCTGTTTGCAAGTTCTGTCAACTTYACAGTTGGTATGCTGATGAAGGTCCCTTCAGAAGAAACATCGTCTGGAGTCGGCGAGCAAAACGATGATTTGATGGTTACGGTAATACTTGTTGTTGCAAATGTGGCTGTTGTGGCTATAATAACAGGTACGTTTTTCAGTATATCCCATTTTTTATTGTGTTTCTTGTATAAATAACTACTGCTGCTGGTTGTTGTATCCCCTGCCATCTTGATGAAAAAAAAGCTTTTATCATGAATGTCGTTTGTTATGTCAACAAACATGGTGCCCATTTTTAATATAATTTTGTCCCTACGAGGTCAAGAATGATGCTTGTAAAACACATATTCGTCCTTTTCACAATCCCCATAATCGCCCTTTCACATTCCTCAAATATTTAAGTACTAAATTCAGTATTTTCATTATTTTTTTCGCAGTTAAATACCTGTCAAGCATTATCACAGCTGTCGTGACATGGAAAAACGAGCCAAGGTGCAATGTCTCGTGTTGTCTAGAGATTCTTCAGCTGGCGAGTAACGCACAGGGAGAAGTAGGAGGCGTGTGCACTGAGCCAAAGATCAATGAAAGCCTCATTGGTGGTGCTGGGGGTCAACCAACCCTAGATGGAGTCTCAACCAACATTCAAACAATAAATGAAAATGACGAAGGAAATTATGACGATAACGGGGAAAAAGGGTAGTGTGCTCTTGCACAGCCTCATGTATGCATATGTTAATCGCAAACTTTTACTGCAGCAACATGATTATATGATAAATATTGAAACATCCCCAATCAGCTTTTTATTAAACTTAAAGATGCTGTCTTCCATAGAGAAATACTATAGTGCTCCGCCCAGTTTGTCAGTTTACTGTATCCCTGACACAATGAAAACTCAGATGACCCTGTTGGTGTKGTGCAGTTCTGCCTTAAAAATTCAAACGATACATTTTTCGAAGCCATGCTATGTAAAAATAATGCCAAAATCACTGCAATCTATGGAAGAAATAATGCCATAAGTGCCATAAAGTTTAAAATACAAATTACAAAATAACGAAGCACAAACAAACAAA